ATGTATGTATGTAACCAGGATTAGATTAGGTTCTGACTCCATTCCCAATTTTGCTTTTGTGCATTTTCCATATCTTGACAACAACCCAGCAAGCCTATGGTGTGTACATGTCACAGCTGATTCGATGTTCAAGGGCCTGTTCCCATCATCACGATTTTCGTGCAAGAAGTCGTCAACTGACTGACAAACTTGTAACATAGGGTTTCAATTGATGCAGGTTGATGAAAATTATGGGGACGTTTTACGGTCGTCATATCGATCTCATTGAGGTATGTATTATATATTTGTGCGATATGAATTTTGGACGTGTTTGATGCTCGTTAGAATGCCTTTTGGTTTTGCTGTTGTATACCTTGTTCCCATATATTGCCCTAGTTTATTGAACTTCTGTTTTTCGTGTTATTATTGTTGGTATTTCCTTGTTTATCCCGTGTATAATCAGACATATATCGGCAATTATTGAGAAAGCTAAAGGATCAGTGAGTAGCATTTGTGACGTTTGAGGATATTAAAGCTTTTTATGCCCCCGGATCGAAATATTGCGGTTACTTTAACCTTGACAACTTTTGCAGCCTAAAGATATAGGGCACTCATATTTGGCATGCATTTTCCTTGTGACAAAGACCATTCAGGTGGAATAAAAAAAATCTCTATGTGACCTTGACCGTGATCTTTGACCTACATTAAAAGAAAGGAAATAGTTGCCACAATGATGATTAAAGTGTTTCACAAAGTGTGCATGCAATAAGCAAATGTCCAGCACATTACTTACTTAGATTACCAAAGTTTACATGGCAAGTATCGTCGAGGAAGCAGAAGACGCTTACTCTTCCGGAACACTTGGTCTTCTTCTCCTTGCATTTTTTCATGAATCTCCGTGTAAATCTTTCATTTGTTCATATTTTGCCCTAGTTTTAAGGAATCTGAGTTTGGATTATGATAATGTTGTCATGTTGGTATTTTCTTGATGATTAAAGTACAGTTTTAATGTCCCACTTCAGAATTTTGTCACAACCGGGGGCAAAGTGTTTCATAAACACATATTGTACATCCTTGATATTTGACTATAGTTTAGTCCTGTGGAATGAAGAAACATTTGACACTAACTGCGGAGAGACAATTGAAAAATAGGAGCAAAATTTCTTCTTATAAGAAGAAGAATTTGTCATTATAATTGAGTTAACACTTGAGCTGAATAATTCTAGAAGCTTTTAGTTCAATTATTTAAAATTGAGTTAAAATCAACATTTGAGTATTCAGAAAAGTTTACGATATTGTATTCAGAAACTGTAAAAATTGGACAATGTATTATTTTATTTTTCAATAAATATTTTATCGAAATACACAAGTGTATTAATCAATCTTGAGTTAAAATAGGTACAAAATGTAATGTAATGAGTAATGTTTTGATTTAAGGTTTATACATATGTAACTAACTTACTTCACAAAATCTGTTGCATAATTGCGTCATGTAAATAAAGTATCGCACTGCACTTCATTATTAGCCGCCGAAAATGTCATTTTTTATTACATAAGGTACTGTATTTCCTCTCTATTGGCTTAAATCATCTGTTTCTGCTTTTTCCATAAGAGAACGTCATATTGCAACTATCCTTTTGAAGTGAGCAATTGTTTTCACAATGAGTTGTCAGTTATACTGACATCATCTGAAAATCCCTGAAAGATGTTGATTTCAAGCGGTAAACTATTACAAACTGCATTGTTTTACCTGTCGTCTGTCTGTATGTGAGGTTGACAGTGCAAACATTTTGTGATTCTCTGGAAGATTCGAAATTTAATGAAGGGAAACATAGTTAAGTATATCGAAACGTGTTCAATGTGAATTTTCGAGCCATTTGTCCACAAAATTTTGTTAGAACACAATCTATGAGGCAAGTTCGAGTCGAGCTGTATATTGTATATTAAAACACATATTTTACGCCTTCGCATGGTATAGTTAAAATAGCTGTTTCTCAGTTTTGGTAATAGACAATATTTAACATTACAATCGGCCTTCTCTTCAAATTAAATCATTTGATCTTAACATTGATGAATATCGACAGAAAACAACCATTTTGTTACTATTCATTGCTGTGCCCCACTGTAATTTGGCTGCATTCTATAATTTCAGTATTGATCCATGTTACTGGTATTTACATTAAGATGGCAATATGTGAAATTTCTCCTTGAAATTCAGATGGAATTTTAAACTAGATTATACATTTTTGTCGATTACTTTTGGTTAATCATAATCGATACAAAAACAAACTTTTATACTAAATTGCAAATATATAATTCATCTGTTATATAGGTAACTGTTGGCAACAAGGTCAATGTCATTTCAGAGCAATACTGACCTAATGAAGTCATTTGGTGTGACGACAGAACGCACAAGAATTAAGATTTTTGGGTAAATTGCGTTCATGTAAAATTTTGTTCGAAAATGAGGTCGGTTCGGACATCAGATATAGATTCAGTCAAAAGAAACCATTCAGTAGGTATTTTGAGCCTTTATCTTTAATATCAATTTTAATTTCAACTGGGTCACGGCAGGAACTATTCAGTCCGTTTTCAGTGTAATGGAGTGGAGTATCATGCTGCTGTGTCCAGTTTATGAAATTTCAGTGTGATTACATTTATAATTTACCGTTAATTAGGCTCTTCATCAGTAGATATTGCTCTCATCCAACTGATATATAAGTAACACGTGAAGCTACAAACAATTAAATATCTTGAACAGTGTTATAGTTGTAAAATGCATGTACAGTGTATATTTAGTTGATATAAATTTGATGTGAATAAAGGTCATTTGACTTAGACGCGATAAAAGCCCAGAAGACTGCCAGTTCATGACGAAAACACCAGTCAACTTGAAATCCTATTCTTCAAGCATGCTACTAATATCGTGACCCAGGATTATTGAAGAAAATTTAAAGTCTGAACACTTTAAACATCAGTGACGGTCAATCATCTATCAAGTAACCGAACCAATATCAATAACAGGGATATTTTGCTTATTGAAAAGACTTTAACACATCTGAACCCTGTAACCTTAAAAGAGGGTCATGGTTATTCATTTCTTTTCAAACTTGGTAGTCCTTCATTCCAGCATGCAACAGGAACAAAATCAGCATCCTTATCTTTTGCTTATTTAGAAGTCGTTTAAACATTTTAACACATTTCAAAATTGGGTCGCGGTAATTCATTTGATAAAACTTAATAGACCTTCATCCAAGCATGTCAACTTCCTAGGCCTTTTACTTATTGAGTCATGTGAAAATTTTATCACATATGACGATTGTTTCTTTAAAGATGTGCTATTCATTAATTTCAATAGACTAGGTAATTCTTCATTCCAACACACTACAGGCCTAACATCAATACCCTGCGCCTTTTAGTTATTGAGATGTCGTTCGAAGATTTCTACACATTTGACTCCTATAACCATGAAAGTGGGTCAAGTTCATCCATTTTTTACTAACTCCGTAGCCCTTTACCCCAGTACACAAAAGGCTTATGAAAGAACCCTTAGTCTTTTCGTTACTGAGTAGTCGTTTGATTGGAAATTTTACGCACGGCGCGCGACGACCGACGAAAAAAACGACAGTTGTAGGTCATCCTGGGTCAGATGACCTAAATATGCTAATGCCCTTATTTTTGAAGGATTTATATTTTATATTTTTTTCTCTTGGCTTATATAGAATTAAGTATCAAGTATGCTAAGAAGTATTCATGAGTGAAAATCTATTTAGTGTTTCATATAGTTGTTTTGTGGATGGTGTTTATTTAATAAAGCTAATTTGGTACTACAATGTATCGTATCTTATTTACATTCATAAATCATTTTTAGATTAGATCATTGTTAAAACCACTAGGTCTACCTAAAATGAGAAATTCTAAGACCAAAGGACATACGACGTACGTACAACAGAATTCGCCATAGTAGAATTGTACTTCCATATACATCTTTAAATCATGTCCTTTGCAGTAAAAAATACCTTCAGCGATATAAGAAGTAACGTTTACGACATTTCTAAGCAAGAGTGTGTAAGGACCGTAACTCATGGGGAAATCCACTCCTCTTCATATCGGTAAAGCAATATATCACGTGAAGAGTGAACGGTTGTGCTTGCAAGATTTCACGGAGAAACAGACGAATGGACAGACAAGGCGAGTACTTTAACGTCCAAATCTCTAATTTCTGTCGGATATTAACTAAGCAATAAAAACTCATGTCAGTAATTATGATGTTTATAACAGCTGAACGTGATACTTGAGGCTTACAAAAAAATCAACCGGCCCTGAAATCGATTATTAAAGCACATATACAATTATTTACAGACAAATATGCAATGTACTATCTTAAATGGTATATTCAACAGTTGACTCCATTTCATATTTATAGTTATAGAAATGAAGCATTGAGGTTTGTAATAACAAGATCGTCAAATTGGGAAATACGTATCAACTCGTCTACACAAATGAAAACTGATCTACCAAAGTATGAGTAGGAGTTACGACAGACCTAAACAACATTTCCATTACATTTCTTTTTATGTATACTTCATTACTCATGTGTGTATTTAAATAGTACACGATTCACGATGTGCTCGTGTTTTTAATCGTGACTATTATTTTCTAAAAAGACAGACCGAGACGCCATATAAGTCAAAAAGGAGGGAAAAAATGTCAATGAAATACTGTACATCACATACGGTGTAATACAATCCACGTAAATTCGGTTTTAAAATTCTTCCTACAAAACCATGGCGGCAAAATGCTGTCGACGAAAATGAAATATATCAAGTATTTGAAAATGACAAAATTCCACAGACATGGTATTTTGCTGCACGTAATATGAAAGGGAGATAAAATCATGTTTTCTGATATATATCTACATTTATCTAACTGGCAATTCATTTAAAGAGAATCTTACAATAAAATATTCCGGAGTTTGAAGACAGATGCCAAATAGGCTAAACTGCTCAACTACCCTACAGCTTACAAGGAAGACATTGTTGGTTCATAAAAAAAATATGTAAACTATTCCTTACACACTCATTCGAGAGACCTTGGAATAGGTCAAGGTCATCATTATGATAAATTTGGTAACCTTTCATCAAATAACCAATTATGTTTAAAAATAAATATAAACAGTCTTGGCCAGTTTCTATTTTAAAGAAGGGATTGAAGATTTTAGCAGGTTAATCATATAAACAAAATTGGTCATCTCTAATCACAGGCTTAATATCAGTACCCTAGGCCTTTTGATTATTGAAAGTTATTTAACAATCTTTACATACGTGACCCCTGTGACCTAGAAAATGACCATGGGCATTCACTTTAACAAAATGCATTATTGCTCATTTTCCCAACTTCAGTTTTAAAAAAGTATATACATTGCAAGTTATCGATAGGGGGTCGTCATTGTAGCATTCAAGTATTCAAAAGAACCCCAGTAGCCTTAATACTGACTGATCTAAGTATACTAAACAAATGTTCCCAGCTTATTGCAATACGTGTATCAAATTGGTAGACTATTGGATCGATTCAAAGAATTTGAATAGTTCATTTCAAATACAGCAATTTTGCAGTAACTAATCTGAAAAGCTAGTCAGTAACCGTATAAAATTTGCTCTCACTTCTTATAATTCCTAAAATTGCTTTCATAACTGACCTCCAATTTATTTAGTTACCTATAAGAATGCAACACTGAAAATAGTTATAATAGTCATACTACAAAAATAGGTTTCGATACGAACTGATATTAACAGACCATGACATACATTTTTATAATATCTATCACATCTACAACTAACGCAAAATACACATTTGACGACACGAGAGGTGTCACCAAACATGATATAACGAGGAAATAAAATGCTTTGAAAATTCAAAAACATTTACAAAACTACGCTTACTTTGACAGTGGAAATTCTTAAATTTTGGCTCCAGAAATATTGCATGAAGTGCTATAATTCTAGTGTGATACTTTATCATGCAAAATATATTTAATCTATAGCTTAACAATTAGTACTTGCTGATTAGATTTATATCAAGCCGAAACGTTTACACATGTACACCCAAATATCTACTTTTTAAAAGTTTAACCCAGTGTTCGACACGTCACTGTTAAACATCAATAACAGAACATCCTAAATATGACAATAACAATGACAAATAAAACATCAAAAATTGACATATATTGGGAATAACGTTTCCTCACGTCTACTGAAGAAATGGACGATGCACATCAGTACCTGTTTATCATATTCAGTGAATTATCGTCTTTTCAAATACGTTGCCTTAGCATTCGTAAAACACGTTCATAAAATATGCTTAGTAACCGTTCATACATTCGCACAAATGAATGCCGCTCATTAAAACGGTCGACGGTGTTAAGATATTTTTTCTCTGATTAGCATCATGAGAATCAATCTTTCATCGTGACCTTTGCTAATCTTGCTGTTAATCGATCTCATTGGCTGCCATCATCAGACTTTCATATCCAGACCAACAAATGCGACGTACAGGTAATGATACAGTACCGTTTTAGTACCAGGCTCGCAAATTACGTTCAATCAATTTTCAACACTGATACAAGTATCTTTCATCAAGTAAAAATGCTATTATACAGAAATATCGGCTTTACATTGACATCTAAACGATGTACACAAAAATGATATATGGGACGTTGGCAAAATATATATTACTGTTTCTCTCTCTGTCTTTTCATTTAATTCTCTTCTTCGTTAATCTCTTTCTTGATTCGAAATGTTTTACGGACATTGTCCAAATCTGCTTGCTTCTCCCGTAGCCTTTCCCGGAGTTTTCTTATTCTTTCCTGAACCATAGTTTCATTTGCTGGAACGTGCGTCACTGTTTCGATTCCGAAGATGTCTCGGTTACGACCTCCATCTTTTGGTTCGCGATGGCAGGAAACACCTTCAGACTGAGAATCAACTTTGATGTCATCGATTGCAGCAATTGTCGAGTCAAAATTAGAATTGATTGTATTCTGATCTGGAGATTTTTCAGTAGGGCAATGTTTTTGGTCTTCCTTTGACGGCAGCAATTCCGAATGACTAGTACCGTCTGATGAAGAATGTGTGGTACAACATCTCATCTCATGATGTAAGTCACTCCCTTCATTTGATACAGCTTTTGTCAATGAGTTTTCACTTTCACTTCCTTTGTTTTCACATTTTGTCTCTGAAAGGGGGCCATTGAGAGTGACGTTAATGCTTTTCTTGTCAAAATTAAAATCGTGTGATTGCGAGTCTAATGAGTTTGTAATTTCTGCTTTTATTGATAAAGTATCTTTTGTTCTTACATCAGCTTCAAAGTTTCTTAAATGTGCAGGCTCTTTCTTCACGATTAAAGTGTCGGTCCCTGTACTACTGACGACGATACGTGGAGGTGAATGACCATCAGTAAATACTGGTAAACAAGAAGATTCTGAGCCGTTCATAAGCTTAGGTAGAATGCTTTTCATATGGGTTGGATTTGGGTTTTCACTTTCACGAGAGACAAATTCCTGATGAAGAACTGGCGGTTTTGCATCATCACATCCCAGTGTCGGGTAAGATGGTCCTTTCGGGCTTAACACAGGTGGATTGCTCGAAGAATTAATTGAAAGAAAATTCACTGATTCTTTTTGAGGCGACAAGATTGGGGGTGAGAGCAGAGATTTGTTCAAATTGTTGTCGTTATCTATAGTAATCAAACCACCGCTATCACCTCCAACAGATGTAATTGAAGTGACTTGCTGATTGGACGATTGTGGAAATGGATAAGTAATCGAACTTGCTGACGCAGAGGTTCGCTCGATCGACTCACTCTTCTTACTTATTACACTTTCTGTAATACCAGTACCACTTTGTTTCGAGGAAGCTTCAGCGATCTGCGAACGTTTTTCAGCTGGCGACTTCATGAGTGAAGGGTTAGTTGCTATATCAATCACATATGCCTTCGGAACAAGATCACCACTATCGGCTGGTATTAACACCATTTTGTCACCGACGCGCAACTGGAAAAATTTCTTAGTATTTTGTACTTTAGCAAGTTCATTGACAGTATTCTTGAAAAGACTTGAATTTGCACAACCTGTGGCCATGGACGATTGTTTCATTGGCAACGTCGGATTCCTTTTCATGGGTTTCACAATATCCTTTGGTAGTATTTTTCTGATGACATTTGGCATTGGTAAGGTATTCGACTCGACTTTCTTTGGCATGGACGGTACCAAACTTTCGACAACTGTTGTGGAGGTCGCCGGCGATACTGATACGTTAGCATCAGGCATGTGTGCCTGATTCTTCATCTCAACAGAACCACTATTCTCGTCACTAGTGGACACTTTGTACACTTTACCTAGTTGTTGTTGTCGAACTATTGATTCAGCGTCTGCGGCAATGTCCATTTCTATGTACGGTTCACCTAAGTTGACTGCTGTTTTCTCAGACGTTTTTGGAGAGTACCAATTCCGATCGAAAGTGGTAATGAAAGAACTGTACTTATTACTTGGCTTTCTATATCTTCCGGTAAGACTTACTCTACCTTCATCTGGGAGCAAATTGTCTTTATTCTTGTCATGAGATGAAGTTACGCTTTGTTCCATTTTCACATTTACCGGAAGGGTTAGCAAGTTTGGATTTGATACATTTGGTTTCTGGGAAAACAACCGTGCGCTCGTACCAACATTTCCTTCGCCCTTGTGTATTATTTTCTGACCGTGCGTGGGAACTTCAGTGTTTTCCTTTTTTATCTTTATCCTTGTTGAAACATTTTTCTCGATGTTTTCCTTTGTTGTGACTTTCGAACTGCCTGCAGCTTGAAGTTTTTCCTTTAATCTATTTTTCCTCATTGTTTTCTCTGTATTTTTTAAGTAGCTGCTCTTCGATCTGTTCTTCAAAATACGGAAGCTACCACTGCTTATTTTTTGAAGATTGTGATAATAGCGAACTCTTCTATCCAGAAGACACGAGATAGATCTGCCAACTCTCCCTTTTGAAACATTCAGTTTCGACTTGTCGATCTTTTCGATCTGTTCCGTGTCAAGTTTAACACTAATAAATGGCATGTCCTCTCTTCTAACTCGACAAAGTTTCTTTTTAGTTCTAGCCACTTGGGGCCGACTTCCTCGGAATCCATATGTCGGAGCTGTGCGGCTCTTGGAATCTTCCTCTTCTAGCTTCATAATAACATGATCCTCAAAATTACTAATGCCTCGACTATCAAACACCACAGCGTCTGTGAAAAGGTTATGATTGAATTTTCTCTTTCTGCTAGGTCTGATCTCGACATGCTCTACAGGTGTTACCACTGAAGGTGTTTCCTGAGTAGACTCGTCTTCGATGAGATCATTCTGGTCTTGAATAGGTGTTTTCCTTTTTCTTTTTTTCAATGTGAGTCTTGCAGGTTTCTTTGCTTTCTTCTTCCGAGTGTGGGTTTGTTGTGTTTGTATTATATCCTGTGTTGTCGGTTCCGCGTCCGTCTCAGCTTTCTTGTCCATTTTCATTACTTCTTGTTTTATAACGCTATGCTTCAAAACATCGAATAACTTTACATAACAATAGCTGAATTTTTTAACCGTAATTATGTCCTCCTTTTTAACAACATATTTTGCTTTCTTTGTGTCTTCAACGACACTTTGAATTGGTTGTTTAAGCATGGATCTTTTCTTACTTTTGTTCAAACATTTTGTACTCGTTGGTGAATCAATACTTTCAGAGTCTTCAACTGTTACTTTCGACGAAAGAGAACGGGATGGCGTTTCTGAACTGACATTTGAATTGTCTAAAATATTGAGGTTCGAGCTTGACTCCCCAGTTTCGGAAACATCATGATCAGTGTTCATACTATTGTTTTCAATGTTTAAACCGTTTGTTACATAACTGTCTGCCTCTGACTTGTCAGTGTTTAAATTATCACCTTCATCGGCCGACACAGTGGATCCAGTAAATGAGGTACGCGATTCGGAGGATTCCGTTGTCTCATTTTGTTTACCGTCACCGTTGACTGCCAGTGAAAAGACGGCGCCAATCTGTATTTCCATTTCGGATTCCTTAGAACCATCAGTCTGTATCTCCGGCCCTGGTTTATTAGAAGAGTTATCGCCATCTACCTCTATATGTGGTTCTTGTTGGTCAGAACCATGTTCCACGTCAGTAAGGGTTTCCATTTTCTGTTCAGTGGTTCCAGACTCCATTTGCAATACAAGTCGATGACACGGTAGATCCGTTCAACTTTCTAAAACTGAAACACGAGAGAAAATGCCATACTTTTACAAAAGAATTCAAATACATCAAAATCCCTACTTCTTTTCTGTATTGCGGAGTATCCATTTTTTTCTCTGGAACATAAAAACGGACACAATAAGAAAACAGCATGATAATAATATGACTTATCCCACGACTACCCTGTATCAGTGTTATAACACATACTATGTAAATACCTTGTGTTCAATAAATACACATTTAAAAGCAGTTGGATGGAAGGAATTTTGGTTACGGGTTCTGATGTTGTTTTATTACTTTAGACACCATGCCTGGTTTAAAGTCCTGTCTCAGTATAACGCACTAGGTTCACAAGGAATAATGATATCAAGATGCTTATGATGGGGATCATGGCAGCAATCTTGAATGTTGCTTCACTGATTTGTGGGTCATGTACATGTCAATTCTAGATAAATCTTTTATGAGAGCTTGTTGCAATTATTTTCAAAGCAGTAGTAGTCCGAATGTCAGTAAGACCATCTGTACATATGCAATTCACTGGTACAAACCCGGACTTTTCCGTCTCATGCTCATCACTACAAATCAAAGACTTCAGTAAAAGAACAATCAAACTTTTTTTACAATTAACAGACGCCACTTAAGATAGAGTCATCGTTGAGTTTAATTAATTCAAAACCAACAGTGTGTTTTAGGAATGAACAGAAAACGGTTCAATAAAACTCAATACAAAAAAATCACCGTGAAAAAAAACAACACATTCTGCAATATTTCAAATCGTGAAAACGTATGCATTTAAAAAGACAAACATTTATTAATACCTGTCAGTACCATATTTCATATTTCAAGATATTCAGTGGAATAACAACCAAAATTAATTCCAAAAAGAAAAAAATGGGCGCCGTTGATATTCCCTACACGGTATGCCGCCACTAATATTACAAACTTCTACACAAATGGTGTAGTCATTGATATTCCTTACTCCGTAAACAAGCTATGCGGTGGTTGATAATACTTTTTCTGTAAACAAGCTATTCCATCATGGATATTATCGAACTTCAGACAGGGATATCCAGCGTAATACCCCATCCCAGATTTTTCTATCTCGCACGATCTTTCTAGTACCCTTACGTGCGTTTTCGCTGAATCTTTACGCATTGGTGTATTCATCCGTGTGTAGGCGTAGGTGGCACCTACATCCGTGCATTTCAACAAAAACGTAGCTTATGTTGTTAAAATACCAACGATGTTCTATTTAATTAATCATATTTAAAATTAATTAGAAAATGCGACCCCGCACTCTTGAAAGGTAAACAATGTGCGGCACATATTGTTTACGCGGCACTATCCAGACATTGTTTATAAGTGAAGAGGCTGTGTTAGTAGTTTGAGGCACCCACCATATACGCCAAACTCTGATCAAATATTGAATAATTTTCAGAGTAGAAGGAGCGAGAAAAAAACTATTACCTGTAACTGAGCGAGATCGGGGTATCTCAGTCTCGGGCTAAGATCTTATAACATCCTAACCTCGGCTAAAATGCCGAGGTTAGGATGTAACAGGATCTTATTCTGAGATAAAACGCCGAGGTTAGGATGTAACAGGATCTTTGCCCGACATTGAGATACCCCGATATCGCTCAGTTACAGGTAACCGATTTTATCATTCCTTCCTATGTAAATATGCGGTGCCGTCACTTATCTTCCGTGCTGCGTACAAAAGCTGTGAAGTTGTCGATATATTTTATCTGATAAACAAAATATGACGTCACATACCTTACTCTGTTGACAAGGTATTCCGTTACCGACATTACATACTTTATAAAAAAATCATGTAGTATTTTAAGTTCGATATTCCGTAAACAACCAGTGCCGTTACTGATGTTACATACTACGTAATGAAATCTATACCGTGATCAACGTTCTCTAGTTTGTAAATAAATTATGGCGTCTTTATGATTATGATCACTATTCCGTAAACAAACTATGTCCTCATTGTTGATTTACCTTCGGGTATTTCAGACTTTGAGTGTCGGGATATCCCCGCATCGGAAAGGCGAACCAGTATACTCCTCCTCTGGGACCGGTTATGTAAGGCGTACAGGCGTTCTCCCGGGTCTTATAGGCGTACCGTCGTGCCTCTGCCTCTCAAGTCCTGCTCAGATCTTGTAATACCGGAACGAACTGAAAATTAAATAACCATCGGATTTTCAATGGTACTTCCTTGAATAAATACCAATAACGCAACTTAAGTACATTCCCAATTAACTACACTGTAAACTTTTAGTGTTACGTTCATCCATATATGGTGTTTTTAACGTGTAAATTAACTCCTATTTTGGTGTAAAATTTATGGTTACACCATTTCTGATGTAAAATTAATCGCAACAAAGAAAAGTGTATAGTATACCGACATATGGTGTTACTTCTATCACAAATTGGTGTAAATTCGTTATCTTACATCGTAAGCAAGTGACTTTACACCAGATTCTCACCGAAAAGTGTTACTTTACACCGTAAGAGAGTGACTTTACACCAGATTCTCACCTAAATGTGTTACTTTACACCCTAAGAGAGAGACTTTACACCAGAATCTTACGTAAAAGTGTTACTTTACACCGTAAGAGGGAGACTTTAAACCACAATCTCGCCGAAAAGTGTTACTTTACACCGTTAGAGGGAGAGACTTTACACCAGAATCTTACGTAAAAGTGTTACTTTACACCGTAAGAGAGTGACTTTACACCAGAATCTCACCTAAAAGTGTTACTACTTTACACCGTAAGAGAGGGACTTTACACCATAATCTCACTTAAAAGTGTTACTTTACACCGTAAGAGAGTGACTTTACACCAGAATCTCACCTAAAAGTGTTACTTTACACCGTAAGAGAGTGACTTTACACCAGAATCTCACCTAAAAGTGTTACTACTTTACACCGTAAGAGAGGGACTTTACACCATAATCTCACTTAAAAGTGTTACTATACACCGTAAGGGGTGACTTTACACCAGAATCTTACCTAAAAGTGTTACTTTACACCGTAAGAGAGTGACTTTACACCAGAATCTCACCTAAAGGTGTTACTACTTTACACCGTAAGAGAGGGACTTTACACCATAATCTCACCTGTAAGTGTTACTTTTACACCGTAAGGAGTGACTTTACACCAGAATCTCACCTAAAGGTGTTACTACTTAACATCGTAAGAGAGGGACTTTACACCATAATCTCACTTAAAAGTGTTACTTTACACCGTCTCACTTAAAAGTGTTACTTTACACCGTAAGAGAGTGAATTTACACTAGATCCTCATCTAAAAATGTTACCTTACATTGAGAGGGAATGACTACACTAAATCGATACCTCCTTTCTTGGTGTATCTTTACACCAATATCGTGAGTTTACACACGTGGTGTAATCTCATAAGATGGTGTAAAGTTGCAACGAAAAAGGTGGCAGCTGTGTTTTTTTGGTGTAACCTTTATCCCAGAATTTCACAGTGTAACTTAAACATTTTCAGCTCTGGAAATTGTAAAATAATTCTAAAGTTTAATCGCATTCATCTTCATGACAAGATATTCAATATTTGGAATATGAAATAAAAGAGTTCTGTGATTTGCCGGAAATGTGTTCTCTGGGCACAAAGTAAACAGATAATCAACTGTGCCTGTAGATATTGATTAAGTGGGTTTACTAGTGATCCCAACATTCGAGTAAGAAAGTCACTGACTAACATACTGCGACAGGTAATTCATACACAAAACATGATGGAGAGGAGATATAGCTCTTATGTCACTAGCCATATTAATATTACATTACAGCTAATACACCACAACACTAATGCGTTGAGGATGGGGAGGGCAGAGATCGCTATAGTCTTGAATATGTCTTCAAACAAAACTTTGTAGTAATACAGGAATCGGCGTTTTCCCCACTGTCAAAACGTGTTCGTGTTACGAGGCCTTTCTAAATTTGATTTTGTGAACGTAGGGATGTCTTTCATTTTAGACTGATATTCAGAACAGGATATGTAACTGTGTGTTTTTGGATTAACACGAGTAATATTTCAGTATTTTAGTACAGATTTGTTTTATTTCTATATTATATCTACAAATATCTTCTGGTTTATGAATACCTATGTATATACATGCAATTTACCTTACCTGTATCTCGAACATGTCCTATAACTTCACGGAAGGCAGATAAATGTTTACTGCTACACTTATCTCCTCAAAAACATGTTTCAGTCTTATAACAAATATGACTCCTACGATCATAGGACCTTTTTAACTGCAGCCACGTGGACTGTTACCTGTCGCAAATACTTTGTGTGCGATCGAAACCTTGAATATAGGATAGGGTCGGTATGTTCAAATGTAGTTATTCACGAAGAAATCATATTTTTGACCTGTTATCCTTTCAGTTCTTGAGAAGTTGTTTAACATTCAACAAAATCGATGTCTTTGACTTGAATGTTTAAACATGGCCAAAAGTAGTTTTGCGGTACTCCATGATTACAGGATACAGGGTACCTGGAGTTTGCGGAATTTCTCTTTAAATATAATCGATGTATTTCACAGTCGAAATGCCTGTTTACAATCTTCCCCTTACACTAATCACACTACAGAAAGACTACATCAATGTTATAAAATATTATATATGTAAACTGTTACCTTTGATATTAAGGCGTCCCTAACTGAAATCCTTTCGACACTCTTAAATAAACCATCACGTTTACTTTAAACATTCACACTTTGGAATACTGATGAGGAGGGTCTCAAGAACAAGACATACCAAAAAACCGAATCAAAATGTATTAACTCACGGCATTTTATGCAAAGGAAATACAAGGATTTTGGTTAGAAGGGTATATTATTATTCATTATCATTTTAATGCGTTTTTACATTGTGTTTATTGTATATTTCCCAGTGTTGCATTTTAGCCAAAGATTGGCATGACATACACTCTACGATAGGCAGGGTTATCATAAACTTTATTCAGCATATGGCACAAGTATATTTACCGTATTGCCTTTTTTCGTATACACAATTGAATTCTCAAACACGATTAGAAATGCAAATAGTTGAAATAGATTACTTTTATTCATAAAAGAATTTCGAAAAGCATAAAAGTAAAGTTTAATAACACTATGCCCTTCAAGTTTTGTCAAACTTTGGGATGGTGTGTATACTGAATATGGTGTATCACTTTGTAAAACTTCAATTAAAATTTTGTCCGCTAGAAAAGTTTTTTGTATTTTCTTTACATAAATAATCAAACGAAATATTACAAAATAGTTCTCATAAATATCATCTAAATTTGAGTGAGTACGGTGCGGTATTTGTCAATTTACTAAACAAAAAGGTAAGTATAATTATGTCTATTTATATCAATACAAATATACACCGCCGCTAGTAACTTATCCGGAATGTAGAATCCGTATTCCGGGTCACGCTTTACCCAACAGCAGAGCCTCGTAATGGCTACGATAATACAGAAATAAACAATAGCGTGTACAAGTGCGCTGATCATTCTCATTCGTCGCAAACTGTTGTCGTACTGAAAGCACCATGAATGCAATTTTTTAAAGAACAGTTACTGCATCGAATCAATATAAAGAAACAGAATAACCCGTGATAGCAATACGGAACCTCATTTGTCAACATAACCACATGTCCTTGCTCGCTGAACCATGGTCGATTGTATGCGATACACATCTCCGTATGTAAACAACGCATTCCGAGGGACAACACCTACACATATCGAATTGAGTGATGAGTCGATAGCATTTCAAATTTCAGCTCTAAATACATCAATGTTTATTAAAAGTCAGCAAAACTGAAGCAAGCTAGACTTTGCTATATATGAACACTATCTAGCTACTGCAATGTATACAGTGTATTGAGTATTATCGCGAGTAAAAATGACAATGCGGTGAATAGGTGATGAACTATCCCCTGATTCAGATGGCTAGCGGCGTTGGTCAGGAAATTAATACGAGTCTAAGGGATTGTGACTAACCTTATTTCTCCACAACAATGCGATTACATCTCATTCAATCCCTCACGTAAACCACGTAGAGTTCTGTAATCATCCTGGTGGATATAAAAGTGAACTTCCGGTTAGCGTAAGAATACTAGTATGCATTAAATATAACGGTAAAACGAATATATATATATGATACTTAAGAATTAATTGTCTGACAACTGTGATAAAGACATATACGAGTGATATGACACTTCGGGGAAACGTTATTCGTAACGGAATCGGAAGTAAAACACGTCAGCCGTCGATACATTTCATATACGCTGAATAAGACTGTTTACTCACTCGAAATGTAATCCCTGCTGGTGTTCACGTAGAATGTTCGCGTGGTGTTTTACTACTGTTTGTAATTTTGTCGGTTATCTTATTGATGTGTCAGTGATGAAATCTAAATGAATTCTGTTTAGAATCCAAAATATTTCAAGGGGTCAGCATGGGAAGACGGATTTATATATTCGTCATCACGGAGAAAATATCACAAAACGAAACTTTGGCTGGTATAGTATAGTAGAGCAGTTGGGCAGTCGATAGAAAATTACTTTCCTGAATCTTTTCGCTTTTAATATCTTCAAAGTCTAATGTTTTACCGCTAAACATTGATATTCATCAATTATTATTTTATTTTCAACGGATACTAAGTCTGCTATTGCGGCCTTTCAGCAGAATTATCATTCGATTTTCAATGCAAACTCTTAATATTGTCATTAAAAAAAAAAAGAGAAAATAGATGCAGAACAGTCGAATCTGAAACATAAGACATAGTTCTACTAACTATTATAGGTTCCGTGTATCGCACGAAAACCAACGCCATCTAAGTATATATACACATAACAGTAACATACGGGTACTTTGCAGTTTTTCCGTAATCGCAACCACGACTTACAACGAATTTAATTTAGCTTTACAAGACATCATGACATTCTCATTCCCAGTTTTTTTTTACACAGTTTTATAGTAAAACTGCTGAGAAATGTTTAATTTGAGTTATACTATATTCCTATATTGACCAGTAACTCAAAAATGCTCTGCTGTGATGCTTTTATGAAGACCATGTACATAAATCACCAACAAAAACCCATGATACATTTCGTACATGTCTCAAAAATCAATACATGAAGGAGAGGCCGACACAAAGTATGTAAAGACTGTTATGATGAAGGAGAGGCCGACACAAAGTATGTAAAGACTTATGATGAAGGGAAGGCCGACACAAAGTATGTAAAGATTGTTATGACGAAGGAGAGGCCGACACAAAGGATGTAAAAATTGTTATGATGAAGGGGAGGCCGACAGAAAATATATAAAGATTGTTATGAGGAAGGGGGGGCCGACACAAAGTATATAAAGACTGTTATGATGAAGGGGAGGCCAACACAAAGTATATAAATGCTGTTATGATGAAGGGGAGGCCGACACAAAGTATGTAAAGATTGTTATGACGAAGGAGAGGCCGACAGAAAATATATAAAGATTGTTATGAGGAAGGGGGGGCCGACACAAAGTATATAAAGACTGTTATGATGAAGGGGAGGCCAACACAAAGTATATAAATGCTGTTATGATGAAGGGGAGGCCGACACAAAGTATGTAAAGATTGTTATGACGAAGGAGAGGCCGACACAAAGTATGTAAAATTTGTTATGATGAAGGGGAGGCAGACAGAAAATATATAAAGATTGTTATGATGAAGGGGAGGCCGACAAAAAGTATATAAAGACTGTTATGATGAAGGGGAGGTCAACAAAAGTATATAAACACTGTTATGATGAAGGGGAGGCCAACACAAAGTATATAAACAGTGCTATGATGAAGGGGAGGCCAACACAAAGTATATAAACACTGTTATGATGAAGGGGAGGCCGACACAAAGTATATAAACACTGTTATGATGAAGGGGAGGCGAACACAAAGTATATAAACACTGTTATGATGAAGGGGAGACCGACACAAAGTATATAAACACTGTTATGATGAAGGGGAGGCGAACACAAAGTATATAAAGACTGTTATGATGAAAGGGAGGCCGACACAAAGTATATAAACACTGTTATGATGAAGGGGAGACGGACACAAAGTATATAAACCATGTTATGATGAAGGGGAGGCGAACACAAAGTATATAAACACTGTTATGATGAAGGGGTGGCCGACACAAAGTATATAAACACTGTTATGATGAAGGGTGGCGAACACAAAGTATTCAAAGATTGTTATGATGAAGGGGTGGCGAACACAAAGTATACAAAGATTGTTATGATGAAGGGGAGGCCAACACAAAGTATATAAACGCTGTTATGATGAAGGGGTGGCCGACACAAAGTATATAAACACTGTTATGATGAAGGGTGGCGAACACAAAGTATTCAAAGATTGTTATGATGAAGGGGTGGCGAACACAAAGTATACAAAGATTGTTATGATGAAGGGGAGGCCAACACAAAGTATACAAATATTGTTATGATGAAGGGGAGGCCAACACAAAGTATGTAAAGATTGTTATGATGAAGGGGAGGCCAACACAAAGTATACAAAGATTGTTATGATGAAAGGGAGGCCAACACAAAGTATATAAACGCTGTTATGATGAAAGGGGCCGACAGAAAATATATAAAGACTGTTATGATGAAGGGGAGGCCAACAAAAAGTATATGAATATTGTTATGATGAAGGAGAGGCCGACAGAAAATATATAAAGACGGTTATGATGAAGGGGAGCCAACACAAAGTATATAAAGACTATTATGATGAAGGGGAGGCCGACAGAAAATATATAAAGATTGTTATGATGAAGGGGAGGCCAACACAAAGTATATGAATATTGTTATGATGAAGGGGAGGCCAACACAAAGTATATAAGATTGTTATGATGAAGGGGAGGCCAACACAAAGTATATGAATATTGTTATGATGAAGGAGAGGCCTACAGAAAGTATGTAAAAATTGTTATTATGAAGGGGAGGTCAACAAAAGCATATAAACACTGTTATGATGAAGGGGAGACCGACACAAAGTAAATAAACACTGTTATGATGAAGGGGAGGCCGACACAAAGTATATAAACACTGTTATGATGAAGGGGAGGCGAACACAAAGTATATAAAGACTGTTATGATGAAAGGGAGGCCGACACAAAGTATATAAACACTGTTATGATGAAGGGGAGGCGAACATAAAGTATAGTAGGACTCTCGTGATGGAGAGGTCAACACAAATTATAGAAGGCCAATAGCAATGAAGAGGAGACCAACACAAATTATAATTAGATTGGATAATTTTCAATATTGAATATTGAAAAAGAATATGAAGAATATCAGTATGTTCTGAACCGTGTCACTATGTGTTCATATGAATTACTGTAAAAAAGAAAATGCATCATAAAGTGGGCGATGATAAACTAGGCATTGGTAGTACTACATGGGTGCTTGTGAGCAATAATGCCAACGACTGTTAAGAAACTAAGAAAGAACTAAATAAAAAATAGAAATGATATATATGATGACAAAAGAAAATGTTATATTACCAGGTAATAACTTGGTAGAAACCACGTCATCAAAGGGAAAGACAATGACGAGGGGACAAGATGACGTCACTAGAACGACATGATAAATATGATTACAGAGGAGAAATAATACGGCGGCAACGTTGACGCCATCAGGATATCACTATTACAGGACGATGGGGTTGTCACCAGGACGAAACAACTAGAGGACAATGATGATAACGACACCAAGACAAAATGTCTAAGGTGGTGACAACAGAGAGGACAAAAGGACTCTAGACCAGGACGAGAAGTGAAAGAAGACGAGGACACAAAAATGAAAGGAATTATGATTAAAAAGAAGACATTGGGAAAGGTAACACAGGTGACACAAGAATAAAAAGACAAGATGATACAAACCACAACACAGGGAGGAGAGGAACAATATGATAAAGGTAACAAAATAAGGAGGCGAGGGACAATATGATAAAGGTAACAAAATAAGGAGGCGAGGGACAATATGATAAAGGTAACAAGTTAAGGAGGCGAGCAACAATATGATAAAGGTAACAAGTTAAGGAGGCGAGGAACAATATGACAAAGGTAACAAAACAAGTATGAGAGGACAAAGATAACACAGTTGATGACACAAGGATGAGAGGACAAAGATAACACAGGTGATGACACAAGGATGAGAGGACAAAGATAACAATGGTGACGACACAAGGATGAGAGGACAAAGATAACACAGGTGATGACACAAGGATGAGAGGACAAAGATAACACAGGTGACGACACAAGGATGAGAGGACAAAAATAACAATGGTGACGTCACAAGGATGAGAGGACAAAGATAACACAGGTGATGACACAAGGATGAGAGGACAAAGATAACAATGGTGACGACACAAGGATGAGAGAACAAAGATAACACAGGTGACGACACAAGTATGAGAGGACAAGATGGCAAAACAGATGACGACACAAAGACAAGAGGACAAGATGACAAAGGTAACAAAATTTATAATTAAAAAAATATATATCAAAGTAAATGTATAAAGAATCCTATTTGAATTTTCTTTTCGTATGAGGATTTTGTGAAATGATTCAAAGAATTTGGCGAGCTTTGGCGAGTAGTGAAATTTAATTCATCATTAGAGCCCCTTTGTAGTTTGTACTGCCATCCCTTCTCATCATTAAAGTCCCTATTTCGTTTGTATTGGACTCTCTCTCGTCATTATATTACCTCTGTAATTTGTGTTGTCCTCCCTTTCAATATTATAGTCCCTCTATGGATCTTATTGTCCACTCTTTCATCATCAAGATCCCCTTATTGATTTTGTGTCCTCCCATTCATCATCAGAATCTCGCTATAGATTTTACTGTCGTCACTTTCATTATCAAAGAACCTCTATAGATTTTACTGTCCCCATTTTCATTAACAGAGACCCTCTATAGATTTTACTATCCTCTCCTTCATCATCAGAGTCCCTCTATAAATTTTACTATCCTCTCCTTCATCATCAGAGTCCCTCTATACTTTCATCATCAGAGTCCCTCTATTGAT